GGTAAGTGCTTAGTAAATAGTAGCTGTAACTTATGGTCACTGTTACTCTCTCTGTTCTATTAGTTCCCCAGGTAGCATCTAGGGTAGTTGACTAGAACAATGACAATTGTCATCTTGCTGCCCATGGATCCATCTCGTCCTTCTTGGCGCTCTCAAGGTCTCACAGTAAGAAGGGATGAGTACTGTGCTAAATGCTTTCTATAGAGTGATCTCTAACCCTTCTATGTCCAAGCCACAGAGCTCAGAGTTAGGAGAGACAAGCTTTGGGGCCAGCCTAGGCTCCAGTATTTTGGTCTCCCTGTGTCTGGATTCTGAGACCCACTGAGACTTTTAGGGATGCAGATTATTTGGAGAGAAGGGATATAGATAAAAAGGGCATTCAGATAAGGGAACTGGTCATTATATGGCCAATCATCTTTTCCAGAAATCCCTGCCAGCTCTCCTTTCCTGCTCCTGTTATCACTAGGCTGTTGATGGCTGCACTGGCCTGGGCAGAGCTCTTACACTAAACCCTCTGAGCTTTCCTACACTGCAGTTTTGTAAGGAGGTGGGAGGAGTACTTGCCTGTTGGGCAGGCTTCCCAGGGGTGGTTGTGGAAAGGAAGGGGAGTGATTTTGTAGATCCCTAAAAGGAAGCCAGGAAGAAAAGGAAAAACATAAAACCCTGCTTAAAAGAAAACAAATTGACTCAGACATTTGCAGCCGTTATCTTTAGTCTAGACTTAGAGATAGAAGCCAGGCCAGGAGTCTGGAAACCTCCCTTTTCTTCTTGCTGTGTTACTGACCTTCCTAACCACCCAGGACACATCATTGCAACAGCATGTCCATCTCATACCAAAAACATCCCAGCCATACATCGTCTAATGTTTTCCTTTATTTGTACCATATTTTCTTCTCTTCAAAGGTTCCAGGCAATAAAAACAAATCTTATTAACATTTTATGCATGTGCATGATCTGCTTTCACACTCTGACCTCGACTCTGAAAACAGCCACATAACGTAGGGATTGTAGGCCAAGTATTATCCTGCCAATTCCGCCAGGAACTAAAGCTCCAAACTGGGTGTGATCTCAGTCTGATGATGGCAGAGCCAGACTTGGGGTCTGGGTGAACTGACTCTTGTCCAGACATGAGGGGCACTGTCTAGAAAGGATTTTCCAACTCACTGGGGTCCCCAAGTCATATTGCCCTGCTCTAATTATAGGGTGAAGGGGGTAAAGGAAGGAATATGGGATGATGAAAATAGAAAAGAGGGAAATGTCTCTTACTCAAGTATATAATACTCTAGTGAAGACTGTTTACCAAGTGCTCAGTTTTCACTTCAGAAAGGAAATAAGGAAAAATAAAGGTCAGATGAGCTTTGTGCTTTATTTTGAGGCAGGTTCTCACTGTGCAATCCTGACTGGCCTGGAACTTGCTGTGTAGACCAGGCTGGCGTCAAACATACCATGATTTTTCTGCTTTCTACTCCTTAGTGCCTGGATTAAAGGGGTATGCCACCATAACTGGCCTTATTTTTTTGAGACAGGGTCTCATATATCCTTGACCAACCTAGAATCCACTACATAGCCCACACTAGCCTGAACACTGTCGTTTTCCTGCCTTAGCCTCCCAAGTGCTGGGAATAGAGACATGAGCTACTGTGCCTGACAGTTATATTAGACTGCTGTTAATCTCTGCCCACACTTCATAGTTTGCTAGGGATGTGTGTGTGGGGGGGGTATTATTTTGTTTTCTGTTGTTTTGTTCTAATGTTTGAGACATAATCTCACTGCTTAGCCAAACATGACCTTGAACTCCTGGAATTCCAAGGTATGTGTTACCATACCCAGACATGTGTGGTCTTTTATAACCCACTTGAAGTTACAAGTTATACAGTCATTATGACAATCTAGTTTCTGATTTGGGGCTAGTATGATAGCTCCGAGGGTAAAGCTTGATCCTGGCAGTGAAATCCAGGTTGCGGGACTGGCAACAAGCATCTTTACTCACTGACCTATTTCACTGGCCCTGGACATATTTCAGTACAAGTTCATTTTATAAACATAATTTTACATTTCTCTAGGACATATACCTACATGTGAGACTGCTGAGTCATATAGATTTAACTTTTTAGAGGGCAGAGGTGTATTTAGCTTGTTGAGAAATTATCAAACTGTATGTTTAAATCTTTAATGACATTTATTTCACATACTATTAAATTCACCTATTAAACATACAGTTCACTGGGTTTTAGTGTATTTATATGGATGTGCAGCCATCTCCACAGCCTTAATTTTAGAAATGTTTCATTGTTCTGAAAGCAACCTCATAGTCATTAGCAGCCACTCTCCCTTTTGACTGCCCCCCACCCCTACCCCATGCTCAGTCTTAAGCATTTATTGTACCTGCTTTCTCTGTCAGTGGATTTGTCTGTTCCAAACATTGCACATAAATTATACTGTCTAGTCTTTATCTTTTACAACTGGCTTCCTTTACAAAGTACATTGTTTTGAAGGTTCATCAAAATAGTGTGTATCAGTATTTCATTCATTTGTATGTCTAATAGTCTACTGTGTGGACTGTCGTATTTTATTTAGCCACTCATTAGTTAGTGGGCAATTTGGGATGTTTCTTCCTAAGTTTTACATCTTATATGTTTATGTGAGTGGCTGCATGTAAATATGTGCACTGTATAAACCTCCTCTCATCCACCATTAGAGAGTTCATTTTGCAAATCTAATGGAATAATAAATGCATTGATTCTGTTAACAAACACCCAGGTCACTATGAGACCTGTTACAGGAATTCATTTTGGAGATCAATACAGCTGTCGTAGAGCAGTTTTCCCCAGAGGCTCCTTGACTTTCTCTTTTCTGCCCTGACAGAAGATGCCCTTTCCAGTATTCAGAGTGACTAGAGAGTAATTAGTACTGTAGAGCATTAATGAGCTGGTGATCCTGCCTTGGGCCATTCGGGTGGTACAGCCTGAAATAGGTCAGCAAATGGAGAGTAGCTAAAAAACCTGCTCTTCTGATAGAATTTGAATAACTCTAGAAAGCTATCATCCCCAAAATATTCCTCCCTACCTAACACATCACCTGAAATTATTTATATCTTTATACCTTTATTTCTTAAGAACATAAGTTTGACTGTTGGAATTTTTAAATACCAAATGTTTTTCTTATATAATCATGGACTGAGAACCTTCTATATAGGACTTTATTAGGTAAATGCTGGGACTGTATAAGCAATAACCTCACTGACACACTTCTCAGAAACCAAGAGCAAGAAAGCAGAGTGACCACACATCTAAAGGAAGCATGAGCTGAAACCTGGCAGCACCCAGAAAAAAAAAAGCATTCAGGAGGTCTTTGTGGGAATGTAGCATCTACACAGGATCTTGAAGTCTTCATATAAGCTTGCTAGAAGTGTAGAGATGAAACCCAGGATGAAGGAGCGGCATACGGGGAAACAAAGAACCACAAAAGAGGCTGCTGTGCTCACAGACTGAGGATGCTTCCATCTGCTTTGCTTTGTGTGGAGAGAAAGCAGGAAGTAGGTCAGACTTAGGAAACTGAACTAAGCTTAAAGAGCCAGCCCAATGAATAATGCTTGGAGTATAGTACTCTAAGCCTTTATCTGTCCTATATACTTCACTTCCTTTCTAATATAACAGAGGAGAGTTTGAGATAAGAAGAAACAAAGAAGGACCAGTGGAAAGAGAAAATCGGGGAACAGAGAACAGAGCTGTCTTTGGAAGACATGGAAGAGTACCAGGATGAGCAGAGGTCTAGTCTGAAGGGACAGTTCATTTGTGTTTTTATCATGATTGCAGAAAGGCACAGTTCTGGACCTTACTCAGTGGGTCTTAGGTAAGCAATGTCTCATTTAGCAAAGCCAGAAGTTTTGCGGGGGGTAATAACAGCAGGAACCTGTCATGTCCTCCACAGCTTGATGCTAGAAACCTTGACTGGGGTGACATGAGGATGAAGAAGGGCTAGCCAGTCAGACATGGTGACACACAACCTTAGTCCCAGCACTCAGGAGTCCAAGGCAGGCAGATCTCTCTGAGTTAGAAACTAGCCTATCACATAATAAGTTGCAGGCCAACCAGCCATACAGAAAGCTGGGATCTGGTGGGTTGTGCTCATTCTGATGGACACCTACAAACCAGAACCTCAGCCCTGTCTATTATGTACAATACAGGAGGTGAAGTTAGTCTAGGTAGGAGGTCTCTGTAGGGAAGCAGTCTTGGGGTGCAGTCATCCAGGAGGAGGAAGCTGAGGTTGTGAGTTTTTTTCACACATTGGCCAGTTTTGCACACACTGGTTAGTTATTCATAAACACTGTTACTTAGACCACAGGAAAGTTTTGCCATGCCTCTGAGCCTCACCTGAAGAAGGCTTTGCCATTCTTATGGGTCAGTCATTAGGGTCCATGTCAACAATATGCATTCCCTCCAGACTTCATCTGCTCCCCACAGGAGCAGGAAGCATAGTACTCGCCCATCCAGAGTCTAATCTTTTTAATGGCAGCATTACTCTCCTGGAGGTGAATAGGTAAACCCCTCTGGGGTAGACCCAGGACTGGGTCATGACAGCCTGGCCTTCAGGCTACTCCTAAGCAGTTCAGACGTATAATTCATCTCCCATTCAGCCAAGATAGCCAGGCGGCCCAACCTGTCTCTCTGGCAAGATGGAGTGAGTATATGAAGAAGAAAATGGAGCAGCCATATTGCTGTCTCTTTTCAGCATACTTTCTCTTCCTCTGACTATTGTCTTTAGGATAAGGACACTTTCCTTTCCTTGTTTTGTTTGTTCAATTTTATTGTTGTTGTTATTTTATTTTTTTGTTTTTTGTTTTTGTTTTTTTTTGGACAGGGTTTCTTTGTGTAGCTCTGGCTGTCCTTGAAGTCACAGAGGTCTGCCTGCCTCTGCCTCCCAAGTGCTGGAATTAAAGCATGCACCACCACCACCTGGCTCCCTTATTTCACTCACAGAGCTCTTTCTTCTTTTCACAGACTCCCTGAGAAACCTTTCTTCAGCCAGTCATGGTTCCCGCTCTTCTCCAGCTGAGTTCAGCGGCTCCACTCAGCACCTGCTCCGAGAAAGGAAGTCCTCTGCCCCTTCACACTCTAGCCAGCCCACTCTGTTCACGTTTGAGCCCCCTGTGTCAGGCCACATCCAGCCTGCCTTGTCCACCAGTGCACCTCAGGAGTATCTCTACTTGCACCAGTGCATAAGCCGAAGGACAGAAAATGCGAGGTAGGAGATAGCCATGACCTCCATGGGGGATGTGATCACTCTGGTTCTATTTTCAGTTCCTGAATTTCAGTTTTAAAGATAAGGGAGTAAAAATTTTTACCTTTTTTAGGCAAAGAAACACATAAATAACAGAATATTTTATTGTTTGTGTAATCTTCATAATTTTTAGTTTAACCTGTGTTGCTACAAAGTCATCACTGAATTCCAGCAAAATTATTAATCTCATTATTAGCAATCATGTTATTTAAAAAAATATGTTTGCTTTGGGGATAAGAAGCATTAGTGAAGTCAGGTGGTGGTGGTGCACACCTTTAATCCCAGCACTCAGGAGGCAGAGGCAGGAGGATCTCTGAGTGTTCAAAGCCAGCCTGGTCTAGAGAGCAAGTTCCAGAATAGCCAGAGGTTACACAAAGAAACCCTGTCTCGAAAGAAGATACATTAGGGGATAAAGTTTCAGAACTACACCATAACAATCAATTTCTTGCTGGCTTTAAGAGTTCAGCTAGAAAACCTTAACCCTGCTGACCAACTCACTGTCTCTCAGCTCTAGGTGGTACTGTTCCTTACAACTACCACTCAGACATGTCCATGTAACCTTAAATTATCCAAATGAGATACATTTTAAAATTCAATTGCTCTGTTATGTCTGTATTAATTACTTTTCTCCTACCTGATAAGAATCGACTTACAGGAGGAAGGGTCTGTTCTGGCTCACAGTGACAAGAGCATGTAGCAGCTGGTTTTATTGCATCCAAATCAGGATGTAGAGATAAAGACTGATGCTTCGCCTGCTCTCTCTGTTTGATTGACTCCAGGACTCCAGCCCACAGAAAGGTCCCCCTTAAACACAGGTTGAGTCTCCCCTCTTCAGTTTGACCTTCCTAGAAACACCCTAATAGACAACAACATAAGAGGTATATCGCCACGGTGATTCTAGACGTAGTCACAGCCAGCTATACATCAAGTGCCCATTACTCTTGTGTGACATGTGGCCATGACTAGACAGCAGGGATAGAAAATGTATCCATCATCTTAGGACATTCTAGGACACATTCTAGGTGTAGAACTTAAACCAATTTTTATTAGCTTTTTTCTCATTGTTAGAAGGATTAAGCCCAGAGCTTTGCCAAAATAAATTCTCAGTTGTAACCATATCCAGATTATAAATCATATTTCTAAATTAATTTAGTAATGTATAATTCCTGTTTTTAAAACTAAGACAAAGGACAGCAAGATGGCTCAGTAGGTAGAGTCACTTCAATCTCTAGATCCCACAAGGTATCAGGGCAGAACCAACTTCCAAGAGTTATTCTCTGACCTCCATACATGTGCTGTGGCACACACTCACCTGCACATGCACACACATATATACTATGGTGGTTTAAATGAAAATGGCCCCCATAGGTTCATAAGTTTTAATGTTTGGTCCCCAGTTAGTGGAACTGTTTAGGAAGGATTAGGAGGTTTGGCTTCATTGGAGGAGGTGTGTCATTGGAGGTGGGTTTTGAGTTTTCAAAAGCCCATGCCAGGTCCAGCCTCTTTCTCTGCCGGCTGTCTGTGAATCAGGATGTAAAGCACTCAGCTACTGTTCCAGCATCATGCCTATCTGCTTCCCACCATGATGGTCATGGACTAACCCTCTAAAACTGTAAGCAAGTCCCCAATCAAATTCTTTCTTTTATAAGAGTTGCCTTTGCCATGGTGTCTCTTCACAGAAAAAAAAGTCATTAAGACACATACATTCAAACAAAAGTATTAATATAACAATTCTTACATGTGGAAATGTTTTTATGATATCACTTGAACCAGTAAAATACACTGAGAGACAGCCAATGTAGGTGACTTACCTCTGTCTTATTGTGACAAAACAGAGGCATACAATTAATATATAGCAGGAGGAGGGTAGACTCTGATTGTCTCTGTTCTGTAACCTTTTCTACACCATGACACTCTGCTGCTGTTTTCCTAAGTCACCACCACACACAAGAGAGGCTCCCAAAACTTAAGTCATTAGTGAACATTTACTAGTTTGTCCTCTACCAACTTAAAGATGAAAGCTAAGTTCTACAAAGATGGAGTGAAGTAGCTCAGTCCACTGAACTAACGACGGATAGACCTATAATTACCACTTGCTTCTCCTGAATCACAGGTGAGAGATAGGCCAGGTGATATAATGAAAAGAATGTTTTGGGCTTCAGAATCAGCCACATACAGCTCATATTCAGATCTACTGCTTCTTTTGTGATCTTAGGCCACCTGTTTAACCATATTCACCATCAATTCCCTTTTCTGCAGAATAAGAATAACTAATGCAGAAGTTCACTAATGATCATAAAGGACAAAATATCTAGTATTTAGCCACTCAGTTGTCTGTGGGATGTATCTATAGCATGTATGATTGCTTGGGAGCCCAGAATGAGAGATCACAAATTGCTAATTCCAGTAAAGACTTAAGTACCTACTATTCAAATTTTGAAATATGTGTAGGTCTTATTGAGATTGTCTTTCTGGATCAGTATACCTAGTCTGGGTCCTAAGAGTCTGCCTCTCTGATAAACACCAGAGACTTGCCAGTGCAGCTTATCTGCAGGCCACACTTTAAGTAGAAGACTTTATAAAATATTAACGTTTCCCCCAACCTCTACTCCCATGAACTGCTAAAGCATCCAAGAACAAATGCATAAATATCTCTGCTGGAATTAGCTGCTAGAGTGTTCCTGTCCCATCCACTGCCTCCTCTGGAAGCCTGTTAGTCTTCCTGGACAGAATTCATTTCTTCCATTACTATTGTAGTTTATTTTTAATTTTCTGTCTCTCATATCATTTGGAACTTTTTGCCTCAGACCATGCATTTTTAAATCAATGTGTTACTGCTCTTTGAAGTTATAGGCCAAATCATAGATGGAAAATAAACACTTGAACAAGCTGGGCATGGTAACACTGCCTGTACTGCCAACATTCAGGAGGCTGAGACAGGAAGATCAAGGCCACCCTGCGCTTCGTGGCAAATTTTAGATCGGTCTGTACTACATAACAAACCCTATTGCAGATTATCTAATGATAACAGCAATAAGAAGAAGAAATCTAAAAGAATATTAAACTGTAAAAAAAGAGATTCAATGTCTCTGACATTACCTATGAAGTCCCTATAACATGTGACCCAAGATGTTCACCATGTAGTTAGAAATGCCTAGACTTGGGAACAAGCTATAAAAATGTTGACCCATAGCTAAGAAAATTCAGAATATAGGAACAAAATCAATGTATATTTGGGAGATATCCTTAAAGGGCTTTAAATGTTTTGATAATGGTTTTAAAAATGCATACTAGAGGAAGTAATGTGAGTTTTAGAAGCAGTGTAGGATCTTTGAAGGACATTTTAGGAATTCCAGTTCCACTGAGAGCATAAGCCATGTCAAACTATGCCTCTATGAATACAACTCACAATTATGGACAAAGTCTCAAATATAAAATATAAAACCCCAGAGCTCTGAGAAGTTCTAAGGATATGATCTATGATGGCAGGGAAGGCGTGGCAGGGCAGCCCTGTCCTTAGCCGTGGAAGTTATATGGCATAACTTGTTATTCACATCTCAGTGGGTCAGGAGACAGGCAGACGGAGCCAGAAGTCAATTTGACCTCACTCAAGGCCTGCCCCCACACCACTAATTTACTTCTTCTAGTTGGGACCACACTCTTCCAAAACAGAATGACCATTTGGGGACCAAGTATTAAACACAAAAGCCTATAGAGCCATTTTACTCCAGACTGTAACATAGAATAAAGGAAAAAAGCCACAGAAGATCATGAAATAAAGAATTGGGTTTTGAAAAGCTAAATAAAACTATACAGTCCTTTAGGTAGACTAACCAAGGAGAAAAAAGAAAAGATGCAAACAAAATTAAATTTGAGCCTAGTCTACAAAACAAGTTCCAGGGCTGTTACACTGAGAAGCCCCGTCTTGGGAAAAAAAAAAATTAGAGTTGAAATGGAAGCTTTTATAATCAATACCATACAAGTAGAGGGAAAAAAAAAAACCTAGGACCAGATGGATTCACTCTTGAATTTTGTGAAACCTTTAAATAAGAATTAATGCTGATTCTTCTCCACTTATTCAAAGGATCATAAAGTAAGGGACTCTTC